TTCTGTCCTTTGGGTAGATGCCAAGAAATGGGATTGCTGGATCATATGGCAGTTCTATTTGTAGATTTTTGAGGAATCTCCAAATTGTTCTCCACAGTGGTTGGACTAATTTACATTCCCACCAGCAGTGTAAGAGAGTTCCCCTTTCACCACATCCCCCCCAACACTTATCATTCTTTGTTTTTTTAATCTTTGCTATTCTGACTGGGGTTAGGTGGTATCTCATTGTTGTTTTGATCTGCATTTCCCTTTAATGAGGGATACACCTGGCATTCTTAACATTTCCTTTGGGGTCAGTCTTACTGAACACTGGCTGCTTCACCATCCAGCCCCTAGATCATCATGTTTTGTTTTGTTTTGTTTTTTAAATAGATTTTTTGCTAAAGGGCGCATGTGTTCACCAGAGAGACAGAGATGGAGAGACAGAAAGTGAGAAAACACCTCCCAGGGGGATGGGCACACTGCAATCCCTTCTCTTCCATTCTCCTCTTGGGATTTTGGGCACACACTCACACAGCTGTGGTGTGAGTTTTAAGCCGTCAGGTCTGGGACTTGAACCATGGTCTACTATGTGGGAGCCCAGTGATGTAACCGTTATGCCATCTGCTGGTCCTGCTAGGTCATTTTTAACAAGTCATTTGTTAATACAGAAAGTCACACAAATAAGATAGTGTGCCTTCATATTTTGTGTTCCTTCGAACTCCCTGACCTTTCTGTGGTCGCAAATTCTGGTTGAATAGAAAGCACTTGTCAGGTCATCAGCAGCCCTGTTAATGTAGTTGTAGCACAGCACTGCCTTGGCACTGATTTTGAATCTTGCTGAACTCGCATACATTTCAGATTCACTGGAATTCTCTGTTCATGGATATACCAAACTCTGCGTGGGAGTAGGACAGCAGGGAGCAGCGAGTATGAGTATTGATCTCCAGCTTCTGCTTGTGTGTATGTTCCTCTCTCCCATTAGACTTCACCTCCAAAACAAATTTGAAGACAAAATTTAGGATTTGATGTCAGCAGCAGCAGAGAATGAAATCAAGTACATGGCCCCTCTGGCCCTGGGACCCTGTGCTCAAGGAGAATACTCATGAAGCTGGCCCTGGGCCTAATAGAATGAGGTAGATATATAAGATAGATAGATAGATAGATAGATAGATAGATAGATAGATAGATAGATAGATAGATTTTTTTTCAGAAGACCTTTGTTTTTAATATCATACCCTATTTTGAACAATAAAATCATTGCCAAACTTCAAAGTCTCATAACCTCCAAGATATTAAATAGACTATCAGTTTATCTGCATTCCTTTTATTCTACAACCTATGTAAAATCTCGCACAATCTTCCTACAGTCTCAAATGTAAGGGAGGTATCAAAACCAAGTGGTTGTGGGCCAGCCAGGTGGTGTGCTGGTTAAGGTAGCTGGATCCCACAGGGCTGTGTGGTTTGAATTCTGGACCCAGCGGCCAGAAAACACACTGGGAGTGTGTGCATGCATGCCCAAAATCTAGAGAAGATAATAGAGG